GGGGGGGGGGGGTTTATGGTGGTTTCGTCGTGTCAAAATTAGCAATCTTTTCTAGAACAATCTTTGTGGAATTCAAAAGAGGTTTTTTCCTTCTTGTTTGACGAGATTCTGGAAAGGTTCATCATTTCTGTGCTAAGAGACGTCAAAACTGGGAGCATCAAGAACCAGGTATGTGTATTGCGTAATTCTTTGTAAACTGTAGATTGTAAATATCACACTTCAATCCAAAAAAAAGCTAGAATGGATGCCTAAAACATTAACAACCAAATATAATCAAAAGGACACGATTTCAAACTTCCAAAACAAAACCCAAAAGAAAACAAAACTATTCTAGCAAAACGTTAACTCCTTCAATAGCAAAACGTTAACTCCTTCAATAGCAAAACGTTAACTCCTTCAATAGCAAAACGTTAACTCCTTCAATAGCAAAACGTTAACTCCTTCAATAACAAAACGTTAACTCCTTCAAACTACAGCACTATTTGCTCCAGCCCAGATGATATCTGAAACCTCCATCTCTTACAAAACAGTTCCCATTTTAAAAAACCCCAAAAACGGCTTCAAATGAGGAAAAAAAACAAAAAAAAACATGGAAAACATAAGGGTGGTTTCAGAAAAAAAAGTATTTTTTTACAAACTTTCTATGGGTCCAAGAAAAAATAAACCCAACCAAAAGTCTATTTCAAACAATTCGCGACCTCCGTGCTTTCTTGTCGTATCTCCATTTTTTTAATCAGTGTAAATGTGACTTCTTCTTCAGCTCACTCTTTGTTATGAACTGTTTTCACTGTTATTAAAAATAGAGAAACGACAAGAAAGCACTGAGGGCCGCCGCGAATTGAAAAGGGAAACCTGAAACACCGTTCTTACCGAAACGACCTGAAACAAAATATGAGAAGAGTCTGTAAGGTCGACAGAACAGAGAACAGAAGTTCCAGAGTTGAGGAAATCCGGGGTGTGGAAAGACAAGAGTTAGTCAACAGCCATGCAGGGGGTGTGGGGGGAGTGGAGAGAGAGAGAGAGTGTGTGGAAACAA